AGTTGCTGTGAAAGGGAGGAGATCCACTCTACTGGCACAAGCTGATTTTCGCAGAACTCTGGAAACATTCCTCTATTGTGGATCATGCCCTGCTTCACGTCTGTTTCGTTCCTTGGAATCGCCCCTTTGCAGCTGTGACCCCTCCCCCCTCTTATGAATTTACGGATTATAAATAGTAGAATGGGTTACTTTACGGCATGACCCACAATAGAGGAATGTTTCCAGAGTTCTGCGAAAATCAGCTTGTGCCAGTAGAGTGGATCTCCTCCCTTTCACAGCAACAGTACTCCGTAGATCTTGCGTCGACTCACAAGTTCCGCCCCTGCACACAACGCCCTTAGGATAAACTAATTGAAACTCTAATTCGATGATGAGGGCGGTGATGAAATACAGGCAAGTGGGGCCGCTTATCACGCTCGAGGTTGGGTGCTCAAAGTGTGGGTTGACTACCGCCCGCGACAGTTGAGCCTTCTGCCCACAAAGGTCTTTCTGTCGGTATCAAACTTATTTGGAAGATTCAAAGCACCGACTTCTATATCGGTTGTCCCCCGCAAGTCCTTAGTCGTTTATGCTCTACGATTTAGTCGCTGTCATCGAGACGTATGCGCGCCTGTTCTGACCCAACAAACTGAACTTAACCATATTTGATATTCACATGGTTGCTATTGGCACAAAATCTGGCCGTCACCGTCGTGAATTCTATAGGTGTATCACTCTCAGTACTTCGTTGTGACCTTTCGAAGCCTGTTTTCTGTTTTCTCCACTATTCACTAAAAACAAACTATTTTACAAATTGTTCAGACTCGTCAAATTCCATGAAGTTGCCATTGATTTCGAGCTATGCAACATCTACGCTGGTCGCTTAAACATTCCGGATCTTTTAGAGGTTCTCAAAGAAATCCTTTTCATTTTGAATGCTCACAAAAATTCTGATTTTCAGTTCGAAGAATGTTTCCTGAGAGCGGCTTTTGACTATGCAAGACCCATGAAACAATCCAAAATGGGAGATGTAATAGAGCGAAGCTTGACTGTGAGTTTTCTGCCCACTTGTTTAAGACGTATAACTTTGGAGCCACGACTTTTTTTGCCATAAACTCTCAAAAAATCTTTGTAGTTTTTGATCAACACGTCTTCCAAGGTTGCACAGTTGCTCGCTGTGGATGAGGCGAGCCAGGAGAACTTGGTTTTGCCCGGCGCCAACCATTTCTCTACCAGTTGGGGTCACTTGCTACGTCCTACAGTTGGTGACGAGGGAGTTAGCGATGCACTAAAACGAGCTCTCCTGACCCGCCCCAGCATCCGTAGCGGACAAGACTGTATGAGCAATAAACTCTAGGCTTTCATTGAATCAATCAGTCAACATGCCGTTAAAACAAGTATTATCGATATTTCAGGAGCGAATTTTCGGAGTCTATGCTACTTATGTACTGTATTATGCACAACCCAGTGATTATGTCTCAAAGGTATGCGTTCTGTTTTTTTTTTGGCTAGAGAAAGTCCTATGATTCACACATTCAGATTCTTGCAACTCCACGCGATCTTATCGAACTGAAACAGTTTGTTACTGATGTGCTGCTTCCTGGACGTCATTTAGACACCATTGGTTGTATATATAAGCTCCTAGCAGACGATGCATTTAGTGTTGGCGCCTTCACAAAATGTGTGAGTCCGATTCTTCCGCTAGTTGTTATAGGTTTGTTGATACAGAAATTTTTCCAAGCTGTTAATTCAGTATGATCCTGTGTGTCACCGCGGTTATACCCTACCATTTTCATCAGATGATGTGGTTGATGACGATGAGAGACATACGCCCTTGGAGGCTGCTAACTATGTTATGGACCATCCGGTTTTGAAGGTCGTGTGGTTTTTCTGATAGCTCTCAGTCCTAGTTGTGTATTTTCCATGTATACAGACTATGGTTCATGTGCAAAAGGAAATGCAGCTCAAACAAAATCAGATTTCCACCCGTCCTGTTGTAGCCGAAGTTGAAGACAATTTCTTGGATCGGATAAATAAGTACTTCCACTACGCTGAAAACTCAAGAGCCCTTTTCCAGCTTTCTTTTTTCAGGTTATATACAACACTGAAGCGTGAAATCAATAAAGTTGGAGTAGTATGCGATCCCGAAGAACCTGACCCGGTGAGCTTCAAGGCACTGTACTTTGGTACCTGCTCAAAAATGGGAGCAGGGGTGCTCTGTAGGGATAAAATGACGGAAAATCGTAGCCAATCGGCCAAAAGCCCGCAAAAAATCCCTTGTTCTGTACGGCATTAGACGAGCATTTTTGGACGAGTTTCTCGTCGGTATCGTGCCAACAACCGCGTTGACATACAACGCTGCAATGAATTCATCCGCCGCGCGGTGTGTAAGCGCGCGAAGTGTGCGGCGCCCTACGAGTCTCTTGCACGCCTCCCCTGTATGTAACACCAGTAACTCAACTATGTTTTCTCAGAATGCATCAGCTGATGAAAATGGCGTTAACGAAACAAGTACAAACGAGGAGCCAACGGAAGGTCCAAGTCGATCGTCGATAAAAGACAAGGCTTACGCTTCGACTATACAGTACGCAAGGAATCGACGGTATGCGGATCCGAAAATGTTTGGTAAGAATCCTCTCCTCTTCCGGAAGTACAAAGAACTTTTTTATGCCAAGCTTGTGTTACTCTATAATTTCAGAAAACTTCCCTGATGCTGCAAATGATGGCGAAGGAGCCGTGGAAGGACAGACAGCATCGAGTGATCAACCGACTACAGACGTGGCGTCACCTCCGAAGAAGAAGAAGAAGCCCAAACCGAAGCCGTGAGTCTTCAGATTACTAACATTTCATCCACATTTAGTATTACTCACTTCATTCCTGAATACTTCTTCGATTTGAGGCAAACAACTGAACCTCCTTCCGCAGGTGATGGTGCTGGTGACGTTTTTGCTCCCAACCCTGCGACGCAAGAAGAGGTTTGGCTCCCGAGCTTTAGCGAGATGAATCACGTTTCTTTCCTTAATTTCACATACTTTTTGGAGACTACCATTTATTATGATATATAGAGTATGATACTGTATTGAATCACTTCAGGATGTCCCATCATCCAAACGTCGCCAAAAAATGAAAGCTCCAAAACGTAGTAAAGGTGAGTAATCATGAGTCTATTTCTAGCCCTCGTGGATATGGAGCACAGTTGAATTAAGGAAACTCAATCAGGGTGCAGCATCGTGATGTGCGAAATCGTCGGTTTAGGTATGACCACTTTCCCCTCCCCCCCCCCCTCAAGATTCTATCATCTAATGCGTCCATCTTCCATACTCTAGTTATCATTTTCCCTAGCTTCCCTCCTTTCCTACCTCTTTTTCCCAGTTTTCAGAGAAAAATGAAAAAATCTTATTTATCGCTAAAAACTGGCGCTGAGTGGGGCAGGCAACCAAAGGTGGGGATTATAGGTCGTCATCATTTATTCTGACTTCATCTGTCACAAATAAAAATTTGTGGCAGTTCTGGGGCGCCGGCAACCAAAGGTGGGGATTATATATAGCGAAGAAGAAACGGGAAAAAGCGGGGAGCGTCGTCAATTTGAAATGTTTCCTAACGGCTCTAAAACTTTTTTTTCAAAAGCACAAACGACCCTTCCCAACGATTAAGTACGACTCCCTTCCCCTAATGAGATTCTTCTAACGATACAGCACACTGAATTTTATCAACTGAAAAGACTGTGGGAATCAATAGTTCTTTCGTTTAGTTGCACCAAAAGCTCAACTAGAAGCTGAACCAAAAAAGGAGACGAAGCCCAAAGTCGTCGAGCAAATTGCTCAAGAAACAGTCAGGTAGGTCTTTTCACGTATGTGAACATACACTGCGTGCATACAGCTTCCCTTACTAATGATTAGTTTCCGTTTTAGATAGTGCCTTAATCACCTTTGATAAAAGGCTAATATGTTTCCCG